TACTTTGCACGCATTTTTAATGTATAGACACATCATAGATATATTCAAATGATATCGCATACAAACTCTGAGCATGCGTCAATAGCGCCGGCACATTTGTACAGTGCTCCCAGGACAAATGTCATTCAACCGCACTAGTTCGCACCTACTATTAATACAGACTCTTACTGCACTGACCATAAGGCAAAGTAGCACCAACTCGCACTCCCAGGCTTATGCTAGTTTTGTTGGATAAAATAAGCAAACAATGCAAAAGAAATATTTCAACGAGATGCTGCGGTGCCAGAAACTTGTATTATTGTCAGCTAAGTCATTCACAAACGAATCGCTCCCTCCACCAGTATGAGAAGTGAAAGCAGGAGAAGGGGTGTGTTTCGGGACACAGACTAGAACAAATCTAACTGGAGGGAGGATAATACATTTACATGCAGGCAAACACACTCTCTTTGTCAGCAATTGCGACCGTGCGGTCACTGATCCAAAGTGATGTAAAATGAAAATTTTCGAAATTTAAAAAAAATATTTGCGTACTGACCACCTGGAAAACTCCCGATCATAGATATATGTGTATGTCTCTGGCTCTGGATGGCTAGTCCTCCATTGCAGCTTGGTCCCACATTTCAAAGCAGCGCTACACTGTACTAAAATGGCGGCTCTATTGATGCATTCCATCCAAAAGACAACAACAGGGCAGGCAACATCTATTGTAAATATCTATGTAGACACACTAGTTAGCGAAGTGCACTAATTTGTATTTTTATTTTTTAGTCAGTGTAAGTTCAGGCGCTTTTGCGCTGAAGACCTTTCGTTTTCATATTGTTATTTTCTTGTTTAGAGGATTGGGAAGGAGATTAAGGGAATATTTTTTTGGTTGAATTTATTTCTTTGATTTGCTAGCACAAACTTCAGTTGCCTTTCCCAGTTGTCTTGGTTCTTTTCAACTTTATCTTATTGTTTGTAAATATATAAATACTGTGGGAGCATTAAATCTTTTGCGGTGTTAATTCGTTGTTTTGTGTTTTTCTCTTGCCATCTTTTTCATCAGTTTATACTTTGGTCATCTCTGTTACACCTTTTAATTCCCTAGACATATTTCCATCAAGGATCATAACACACATACACACACACACAAACACACACACAAACAAACACACGCACACACACACACACACTCACACACACACATCGGTTTATTGGTTTGATGTCACAAACAAAATTTTGTTTCTTTTATATGCTATTGCTGATAGCTAACCTCTATATGTGCAGTATGGCTTTTCTGTTATTAACGGTTTTGCTGGTTTTGCACACATGGTGACAGATTTGGGATAAGGAGTGGCCCAGGGTTCAAGTACAGCAAAGGATAATTCAAGAAACAAAAACACAAAAAATCAGTGTGAAACCATGTTAAAAGCACAAGACCACAATGTGCTTTTCTCTGCTAGTTTGCTTTTGAAAACACTATCTGTTGGGTCAGTTGATAACAAGCTGATATACACACAAGCTGACTGGCTTCTCTTACAGATGAGCATGAGAGGGACATTGAGATTTGCAGAAATGTACACATTGGCTTCTAGTGGATTTATGAAAAGTATGTGCTAATTGCAAGTGGGCCAGTAAAGTATTAGAGATTGTCAAAAAATGTACACAGCAACCTTTAGTGGATTTTTGCAAACAAAAACTGCAAGCAGACATCGCTGTGGGCACATACTTCGTTGTTCCCAAAAATGTAGCCCTGGGCACATGTCTCCAATGAGCCTGTGTTGCATAAATGGCCCATTTCCACTGAGTGGTATGGTATGGTTCAGGATGCTTATATATTATGCTTTTATATATCTTGTATACCATCAGGGCTTGACATTAACTTTTTTGATCTCCAGCAACTGTGGCTAGTAGATTTCAAACATTATTAGCCCCTCTCCTTTTTCACTACCCACAATTTTATTTTTGGGAAAATATATTTCGTATGCATAAATTTGACTTTGACATGCTAAAATTACTTGATTTAGATATTGTGGTATTATGCCTCCTCATTCATTTCACTTTTTTGTGTATGAGCTTACACAATGTGCATGGGCAAATGGACTGTGTCATATTGCAATTAGATTTTATTTCACATTTTTTCAGGGCTCAAAATGAAGGATTTACCAAATTTATCTGTCTTGGCTAAAGATCCTAGTTCACCAGTTAAAGCAATCTTATTGAAAAAAAAATAATAAAATATAATTTTTATTTATAATAATTTTTTAAATAGTTTATAAATAATAATAATAATGATAATAATAATAATAATAATAATAATAATAATAATAATAATTAAACAATATTAATAAAAATAACTGTAAGCAAAAGAAAGCAGGTAAAAAAAAAACACCCCATGTGTGATCATGAAAATATGATCACGCACACACGGTTAATGTTAGAACTGTTAATAATCTGTTCTAAAAACAATTAAAGAGAAAGCAGAGACTGCTGCTGTTTACGAATGAATAAATTTTTTTTTTAATTTTCAACTCTTGAAAGCAGCAGGACTGTGAATGCACAGATCAGATTTTTTTTCCACTCTATTTTAAAGAGAACAGAATGCACCAGTTGCGGTTTATCTAGGCACGATTGCTTAGTGCAAGTAATCACCTGTTCGCACGAGTAATAAAATTCTCATTCGGTATTCACCTGTTTGCCAAATACAATTAGTTTTGTCAGTCCTGCTGCTTTTCGATTCTAAGATCACATTTGGACAAATATTGGGCCATCCTTTTTGTTGAAACCGGCTTTTATAAAAACTACAAAAATATTTTCAACCAGCCAAAGTGCCTTGTGGGAGCAGCTGTCTAACCCACCACAGCTGAAATCTGCCTGCATTTGGCGGGTGTCAATGTCAAACCCTGTATACTTTAGCACCTTTTGGGTACTCTTTGAAAAAGGTACCTAGCATGACAAAAGTTGGAGCTGGACGCGCAGCTAATTGCTTTTGGTTTACACAGAAACGTCACTAGCGCATACACTAGCCAGGAGAATGAAAACAAAAGAAGTGGCATTTTTAAATACACAGCCGAGAGATTACATAGTAATAATATATACATATAATAACGAGCCATTGTCGACCTGAGCTCAAACAAACCTTGTCATTGTCTTGATTAACACCCACATAGTCAAGAAGAACCTAATCTGCTGTGTCCTGTTTTTGTTTTACGAGGCCATTTTAACGTGCGAGCGGTTTCACTTTCTCCAGAGAGCTCACAATCGCTTGCTTGTGCGTTTATATTTAAAATAACAAACTTCTTAAGCAGGTATGTGATTATTGAAGTGCTTATGACATCTGATTCTTTCAGAAAAGGATAAATGCGAGATCAAAGCACGAAAAAACAAAGCAGAATGACGTTGACTGAAACTTTCTGTCGCACCATTTTTGGCAGTGGAAACACAAGCCTGATAAAGATGACCCATACCAACCCGCACCATACAGTACCTCCCAGTGGAAACTGGCCATAAATGGTAGAGGAAACACGGTACAATCTAAAGCTGAATTTGTTAGTATAATGTTTGAAATGAAATGCATTTGTTCTTGGAATAAATCTGTATAAGTGGTGGTTTACCTGTTTGACAATTGTTTAGTCTGCAGGTGAACCATTAACACCAATCTGCAGCTCTTTTTTTTCCTTTTAAGAATGCATCTGCTGTAGTTCAAAGGCATCGGAAGGCATTCAGTGGCTCAGATTCATTTATCTGGGAATGTATGTGAAGGAGAACTGGTGAAGGCAGGTGGGCTGTGACCAATGACCCACCAGAAGACAAATGCTTTTAGCAGGAGGGCTGCTGACATTTATGTTTCATGTGGTAATGGACGATGACCCACAGGGGTCAAGGGTTAACCGTGCTGAGAGTCATTCCAGCACAGTGGACAGCAGTTGAAACTTGAGCAAATCAAAACAAAGAACCACGCTGAGCCAACAACATGATAGCCAGTGTTGTTTTAGAATGATTTATACTGTATATTTTTACTATATATTTTAATTGAAATTTTTTTTTCAAGACTTCACACTTAGCTGATGCTTGGTCTAGTAAAGTTTGGCATGCTGTCCTAAGAGAGAGCCCTGAGCTCAGAGGATCCACGAGCCCGGGGCTCCCTCTGGTTTAGTCAGGAGGGAGAGAGAGGGGAGTCTTGAGCTCAGGTAGGTCTCGAGACCTCCCCTGATATTGGAGAAGGAAACAAATCGGAGGAGTTTGGTGGATGGAGGGTTGTGTCAAAAAACAGGGATGACTAAAATAAGGAAGGCAGACTATTTAAATGTGTTTGGGTGTATCTGATTGGATGGTTAGTGAGTGATGACGATGGGACCAGCCATGGTGAATCATAAGCACAGGATCCTCTCGAAATTTGTTTATAAAACTTCATTTAATTCATTTGAAATATAATTTTTTATTAAAAAATAAATAAGGACTTATTAGGTTAATACAAAAGTTGTAAAGACCGCTTGATTTTGTTAATGTACACTGTAAAAATAGCTACAGTAAATTTTATGATTGTTTTTCTTTTCATTTGTCTATGCTTTTAAATGTGACCTTGATCTTTCTACCATCAAAGTTTGACTTTTATTGACTTTTTAAAGTAACTTTTATTTATTTTAATAGTTGCAAAAAATAATATAAAAATTAAAAATATATACAAATTATTAAAATATATCTCAAATAAAACAAGTAATACTTTCTCCAGACAAAAATAGCATAGGAAACACTGTGAAAATGTCCCTAATCTGTTAAATATCACTTGAGAGATATTTTAAAAAGATTTAATATTACACAGGGCTAATAATTTGCCCTCAGCTGCATATTGTTTTTCAACTACTAAAACAAGAATAATACGTACTTTGATAAATTGAACAACGCAATTTTTAACATCAAAAGTCGATAGAGAAGAGAGAAACGACGCATAATACAATTCATAATCTTAAATACAGAGAACAAAACCTGTGAATTACAAAATACAGAACCTGGTAATATCAGGCACTGTGGCTTAGTTGTCCAAAGCACCTGTATCGTAAACAGGAGATCCTGGGTTCAAGTCCCAGCAGTGCCTTTGGGCAGCTGGTGGTTGTGCTTCTATTAGAGAAGTATGATTTATTTCGTTATAAACTAAAAAATCATGAAATGATATAACTTTGAAGCATAATGGATAAAGCAATAAATAGAGTTAAACAAACTCTTTTCCCAGAGATGGGTTGTGGCTGGAAGGGCATCAAAAACTTGCTGGATAAGTTGCCGGTTCATTCCGCTTTGGCGACCCAGGATTTATAAAGGGATAAGCCGACAAGAAAATGAATGAATGAGAACCTGTTAATCAATGGATATTGTTTTACAGTCCATCCTTCACCTTTAGTCGTCCACAGAAGATAATACTGGTTTAAAACATCCAGAGTGAGTACTTTTTTTTTTTTACTAAACTTACTAAAGTTGCATTTGTAAAAATAAAAACATGACTATGATAGATTAAACAAAGGATTTGGCATTGACAGGAACAAAAGACAGAGGGGTGAAGAGAAAGAGAGACACCAGCCTGGAAAAGAGTAGATGGCCTGAAAGTCTGCCAACACAGAGAGACAGAGAGAGACAGCCAGTGGAGATGGTTATGTAATAGCCACAAAACACTGAAGCAGTGTGATCAAAGACTTGTGGTGCGGAAAGAGGCCTGAAGCTCACACAATTAAACAGATGGACTTCCTAACATTAAATATAGAGTAAAATACCTCAGACACATATACAATTTGGACAACCCATTGGAAATGTAACAGTTTCTCCAAGACAGCAATGTAATTATGGTAGTCGCTCACTTCCAGAATGAAAATTCTGTTATCATTCACTCACCCTCCATCCAAACCTGTATGAGTTTCTTTCTACTTTACTGATGAATACAAAAGAAGATTGTCACCATTGCCTTCTATATTAGGGAAAAAATACTATGAAAGTTAATAGCTATGTTTCCGTACACCTATTTTTAGACAAACCAGCAAGCTGAGCACACTGTAAAACATCTGAAATGTTGTTTTGGTCATTCTAAAACACCTTAACCATTTCAGTATTATTTTATTAATTACCTCAAGAATAGTCAAGAGCATCTGTGCTCCACGTCCCACACCTTCAAATGCCACCATGCATTCACTGGGTGTCAGGATTGCTTTCTAAGTCGCAAGTCATTTATTAAATAAAGAAAAGATTGATGCAGATTCTCCTGCTGCAGCAAATTCCATTTTTACTGTTGATATTTGGCAGCAGTTAATCAGGAAGTGAAAATTGTGTTCGCCTTGATTCAGTGGATTGAAACGTGCTTCATTCGCACGTCTTTTATGCGGTAATGAAGTTTTGCGCATAAAGTTGATTCACATTTATGGATGGAAACAGCTAATGGTGATCATCAACTGGAAGTAAACTACTAATTTAAACATAACTAACCACTTGAGAAGTGGTTATCAACCCATGGGCTGTAATCAGTGGCGGACATGTAATTAAGTACACTTTTTAGTTAAGTATTGTAATTAAGATTTACACTTCACTATTGTAATTTAGTACATACATGAAGTATCTGTACTATATCAGAGTATTTCTTTGGGAAACTTGAACTTTTACTTCATTACATTCCAAAAATATATATATACTGTACTACTTACTTTACTAAATATCATAAATTCATTAATTTCCTTTTCAGCTTAGTCCCTTTATTAATCAGAGATCACCACAGCGGAATGAACTGCCAACTTATCCAGCATACATGTATGTTTTACACAGCAGATGCCATCACCGGGAAACACCCCATGCACTGATTCACAGACATACACTATGGACAATTAGCTTACCCAATTCGCCTATACTGCATGTTTTTGGACTGTGGGGGAAACTGGAGCACAAAATACTGGTTTAATTGTATTCAAGGTTAATTTTATCAATTAACCTGTTGAATTGACAAACAATTTATTTGTGAATTGGAGTGACATCTGCTCACAAGTCACCAAACCGATTCAAACAATCCATCCAGAGTGAGTCTCCAGTGATTGACTGAAGTATTCACTGATTTTACAAACTGATCTTTATGGGGTTCACCCTCTACATGTGATTTTTTTTTTTCTTTGAATTATCATGAATTATTAGTAGTTGGTTTTGATAACTTTTGGTTATCTGACTTTCTTGCCAAATGAACATTCATCAGTAGTTGCTTATTTTTTAAGGAAAAGTTCACCAACAAATAAAAATTTTGTCATGTTTGCTTATTTCGTGGTTCCAAACTGTTTCTTTATTCTGTTGCACACACACACGCACGCACGGACGCACGCACGCACGCACGCACGCACGCACGCACGCACGCACGCACACACACACACACACACACACACACACACACACACACACACACAATATTTTCAAGTAAAATGAAAAGATTGATGTAGCAATTGACTTCCATTGTCCTCTATTGAGTTCCATAGTAAAAAGTAAGTAGTAAGTAGTAAGTCCAAAAGCAAATACTATGGCTGTCAATGGTTTAGGATTTTTAATTTTCATTAACATAACTTATTCTGTGTTCAACCAAAAAAAAAGAAACTCATAAAGGTTTTAAACAAGTAAAGGGGGAGTAAATAATCACACAGTTTACATTCTTTGGGAGAACTATTACTAATTTTACAACTTAAGTAAACTAAAAATCAAGAACTTTTTTTTTTTTTTTTTACTTTTACCCAAATGCCTAAATTGTGTCCACCTCAGGCTGCAACCCAAAACTCAGTCCAAGGTCCAACTGGGTTGAGACTAGTTAGTTAAAATGACAAATATATTGACTTATTAAAAACTTCGGTAAAATTAGAAGATAATATGCTTTCATTGACAAAAGTTGCGTGTGCAAATCCATCTGTCTCTTCTTAAAAATCTAAACCAAACCAGCAGATGACAAAATGATAAGACCGTGTGACATGTCATCATTCCCAAAAACCATAAACACATTAACTTAATTTGCAGTAAACAACACACACCCACTTCAATTTGTAATTAAATGATATTTTTGACAAGTTGATGTCTAATTCAAGTCAATTTGTGCTAGGTTTGTTAAAAGTATTGACTTCAGTACCTATCAATACTGGAATTTTAAACACATTTGAGCAGTATTAAGCATTCTTAAACACTGCTGATTATGCAGATATGACTGTGATTGGCCTTGAAGATTTTTTATGATCTCACACGTTTTCATTTAATTTTCTAATGTTACATAGACGGTTATGTTTAGGGGGAATAACATACCAAAAAGTGTCACTTTCCTATGAGGTTTGGGTCCTGAATGCTCTTGTATTTTATAAAAAAAAAATTGTAATTTGTGTTTAAGGGGGAGTAATTAACAACAGAATGTTAATTTTTAAATGAACTATCCCTTTAATTATTAGTCAACATAGCAACTAAGCTATATTGTTTTCGGATGACAAATATCCTATGATGCTTTCTTCCCATCCATTGTCATTTCTAAAATTAATTATGTTAATAGATTTCACAGCTAAAACTTTGATGAATATTTCATGATTTCAGAATGGATTATGTATAGCCTAACAGGTGTGCAAATAATCCCTAAAATGCTTTCTCTCACTTCGATTCATCATAATCTCACAGCACTGAATCTCTTTATACACTGGATACACTTTGTTTGTTACACTGACAGGATTAGCAAGCACAAAGAACTGAACACTGAAATAAACAAGCAGTGAGTGGATAACTTGAACACCTCTGATTGGTGGCTGTGATCGTACATGCCTGTGATTGGCTGCACTGCTCAACGCTGCATGAAAAACATTATTGATAGAATCTTTTGCTGCTCTCTGAAGCACAAACGCAAATAAACAATGGAGTATTTGCCAAGTATTTTTCACCAGCATCAGATGGGGCCCCCTGATTCATTCCCCAAGCCCCTGTTGTGTTTAAAATAAATAAATCATACGGGAAAAATATATGTATATTCATTATTTAAACAAATACCAAAATTATAAAGCAGAGAAAACTTGTGTGTGTCTCAGTGTTTGATGAAGATTGTTATTTATTTATTTATTTTTTGCATTTAGGTATGGGACAATAACCGCTTTCAAGGTTTACCGTGGTTTGGAAAAGTCAAGATTTTAAAACAGCTAAACATTTCTGTTATACCGTTCCTAAGGTATATGTAAGGGTTTATTTGTATGTGTTTTTTAAATGTGCTGTAAATCTGTGTTTTTTAAAGTAATGAAGAGAGCAGAAGTCAATAATTTATTTTAATAATTTATCCTGACATGTTTATTGGTGCGAAATATTATATATGTTTCCTAAAATAACATTTTGTTTCACAGACAATTTATAAATAACTAATTTTAGAGCAGTAATCACAATACCGTAATACCGTGAAATTATATTTTTGTCCAAGTTTATCATATTTTAAAATAATGTATATTTTCTTGTGGGCTTAGTCCCTTTATTAATCCGGGGTCGCCACAGCAGAATGAACCGCCAACTTATCCAGCAAGTTTTTACGCAGCGGATGCCCTTCCAGCCGCAACCCATCTCTGGGAAACATCCACACACACATTCACACACTACGGACAATTTAGCCTACCCAATTCACCTGTACCGCATGTCTTTGGACTGTGGGGGAAACCGGAGCACCCGGAGGAAACCCACGCGAAGGCAGGGAGAACATGCAAACTCCAAACATAAACGCCAACTGAGCCGAGGTTAGATGTGAATTAATTTAGCTAAACTGCTACATGTTCATCTTCCGTAAATATTACCAATGATCCATCAGGTAATGTTTTCCCCCTCTCTCTTTCTCTCTGTTGTTTAAGAGCTGTGAACAAATATTTTTCCTTCACATTCAATAATGCACAACGCATCAGCCTCCGGCAGCTGGATTAGTCCAAAAAGGCGCAGTTCTTTTTGCGGTTGAGTCTGTTTTAGTTTGGATCATAATCTCACCACAAATTAACTGCTCCAGGGTTCGTTTGAAAGCGTACCGAGACCACCTCTTCAAGGAGGTCTGGGTGTGCTTTTTTGGTTTGCTTATGGTGTGCACTCGGGTACGAATGC